CCTTTAGATGGGATAATATAGATAAGCGGCAGCTCAAAAAAGGCTGCACAACTTTTGTGGATGAGAGCTGTCTTCTAAGTGGTTTTAAATGTTTGTACCTTCATCACAGTAGGTGAAAAGTTGCTGATACCATGTTCACTTACAGAATTAGTGCTAAGCTATATACCTCTCATACAGTATAACTTTAGATATGCAGGGCCCAGGGAAATTAATTAGAGATACCTAAATACAAGATCAAGAAGTCTGAACATAGTCCTAAATGTACAACAATATAGGGAAATATTAAATGATTAATTGATGAAGAGCTTAACACCAACAACATTCCATGTACTGCAGTTAATATTTAATAGTTTTCACTGGACTGGAAAATAAAGCATGAGAAGCAAGAACAAAATTAACAAGATGTGGATATGCTAGTGGGTAGGAAGTAGCAGATATTATCAACTGTTAATACTTGAATCACACAAGAGATGCTGTATGCTATATTCATTCAAGTTATTACAATTCATTGGCAGTAAATAAACTTTGAATTAGTCCAACAGCTTCAAAGAAGATTCGTAATGCTTTTAATCCTTCCATGCACAGGTTGAGATTCTCTCTCTCTTTAATAAACAAAAGTATAGTAACTGCAAGCTTATATGAATCCTATGAATAATTCAAGTCATGAAATAGCTTTAAAACTCTGAGTTCAAATTGATGCAAATTCCTATTGAAATCAATGGAAATTTTGTCTGAATAAGGAGGGCGGGATTAAGGCTTCAGTAAAGTAGTACTGAGGAAATGTATATGTCTAAACATTTCTTTCCAAGATGACAATGAATTTGCAGGGGATTATTACAGTTCTTGGGTGGTTAATTGGCTTGTAGCCTCATGCACCTGATGCAAGCAGTAATCTCCCAGAAATGCCCAGCCTTCAGTTTTGCTCAAGTGCTCAAAACCTGGATTACAATTGATTTAACCATTCTCTGTGGGATTATTAGGATTTTGCCTCATTGTTTTATTTACTACTAATAAAGCTATTTTTTCATAATGGTTCATACCAGGAAACAATTTAGTATGTGATAATACTCTTATGGGTTTTGTTGATCTTTCTTTCTTTACCAATATAATGGGAGTAGTCACTGTGAATAATAAGTACAAAGAATGAGCTTCTCTTTGATGGTTGAGGTGAGGGATGTTTGGTTTTTGCAGTCATCATGAAAAGGAGTACAATAGATTGTCCTCTAGAGTAGGGGAGTAACAAGGGAAGGTGGTGCTTCCTTCCACCTCAAGAGTCTGAGAGACTCCAGGAAGCTGGAGAGGAAATTGTGGGCTTTGTGGTTGTTGAGAGGACTGCAAGGAGATTTTGGAGGGGGTTGAACTGTATATTTTGACAAGGGATTTTATGTTTCTGTGGTGCTTAGGAGCTCACGGTGTATAGGTGACCTTGACAGCCTTACCTTGCTGGTCTCTATTAGGCTCTTTGATGGCTACCATTAAAGGTTGAGCAATATTGCCACAAATTGGGAATATTGATATCTGGGGAGGAGGAAGGAATCAATTGCTGTCCCTGTTGTAGTGGGCAAGGGAAGGCAAGGTAGGAGTATATCATTTGTTCGGTGGAGACCAGTTGTGCTGTGTTTAACATTAGTCCTGTCATCTCTGGGGGTAGGGTATTGGAGGACATAGCCCTAACCCTCATGATTTATGCTGTTCAATGTAAATAATCAAATTACTACCACCCTTAACCTGGAATATGAAAGATGTCTCTGATTTTGCTTGTATAACTAAGATGTGGCTGGATGACACTGCAGTATTGGTCAAGAGATGGCTGAGGAAGAGATGCAGCAAGCTGACCAAAACTGACGTTAGGGGCAGGAGGTCTCCAGCTCAGCTGGATTGATTATGTCCATCTAGCATGTGATGGAGTTAGAATAAGACCAGTCTTGGTAAATACGCTGCAATCTTGCACATCCGAATCCCAAGCTGAGTTAATTTATGTTCCTCTCCGTGGTGGCTTTGGAGTCACCAAGACCAATTGTTCTGAATTCCCTCAGTGTCCAGGTGGATGACAACTCTTTAGAACTGGCTCGGGAGTTCATGGCTACCCTGGAAACCAGTGGACTGTCCCAAGTGACTACTGCCTTGACAGATATTTGGTCACACTGTGGATGTTGTGATTGGGCTGAAGTTGGAGGAGAGAAGGATGGAGCTGATACCTTTGTCATGGACTGGTCATTACCTCCTGCATTTTAATGTCCAGGCAAACCTCCCCTGCTGGAGCAGAGAACTTATTTGACTGGTTCACCCTCAGGGGCTAGTGTAATCAAAATAGTTTCAGGTCTTTGATGACAACTACTCCAGCACTGCCAAACCCAAAAGTTCAAAACTCATGAGTCCGTGCATGACACTGGCTCAAATACCATGAGATTTTCATTTCAGATCACATTCGTTTTGGTCTGTGTTTTTGCTTTTTGAACTTCCCCTCTGATGCCAGTGTGTATGTGTGTTTGACAGTTACAGAGTTGCCAGCTCTCCCAAATTTATGCAGTCCAGTGATTTTGGCCCCCGCTGCAGGAGGACTGCGTGATGGTGTGGAGCTTCCAGCTTCACCCCAACCCCCCAGATTTTAGTTAATTAATTCTGTCCCCCACTAGCCCTACATCTGCCCCATCCAAGCAATTAATTATGCAGTCCCCAGCCACATCAATTTTGGTTCCCTAGTCCCACATCTGCTCCCTGTCCTCTAATTCTCCTGCCTCTCCAGGGGTTCTTCATTCTCCTCTCCCAGGCAGGGGAGGGGCAGAAAAGGACATCTCTGTAGCTACCTCTAGGGTAGCAGCTCCAGAGGTTCTTCACTCCCTTGCCCCATCTTCCTCTTCCCAGACGTGGTGTTGCAGGGATGGAGAGGGGAGGGATGAGCAGAGGGCAGCCATTTTTTCACAGGAAGGGAAAAGGAAGGAGGGAATAGAGCCACTCTGAACTGCTGGACTCTTTTTGCTTCCTCTTTCCCCCTCTCCTCCTGTGAGAATGGTGTTGTCTGCTCGCTCTCCTCCCTCTTCTACTTAAAACCTCCTCTGGGCTTCTGAGGGCTGGGGACAAGCTCTTTCTGCCTCCTTCAGCAACTGTCATTGGCTGCTGTTCCCAGGAAGATGAGCAAGTGGGGAAGTTAGCCAGTGAAAGAGATTTTTATCTGGGCAGGACTAGAAATCATGTGAGGGCTGGAACTTCTTGTGTCATTCCAACACTGGCTCCAGCAGGGGCCAAAATAATGTTTCAGACAGAATATACATATCTTGATTATGAGAACCATTACACTGTGGAATAGTCTCCAAAAATAAATGGTGGAAGGCCCAACCCTGAAGACATTTTAAACTATGCTGGTCAAAAGTACTTGAAATTTTAGTGTACCTTGCATTGGCAAATAATGGTTTAAATACCCAACCAGTCGTTTTCATCTCTAATTTCTGTGATTCTATATTCTTTAAGTCACAACACTCTGATGTGTTATTTAAGTAAGTGGATTTTCTTTTATAATTCTAAATGTTAGCAGGCTGTGTTTATAAAATACATAATTCTCTAATATGGGGATTCTAGAGTGAGGGGGGAATTCTAATTCTCTCTCTTTGTAGAATACTAGAAATTGCAATTTTGTCAATTCAAGGTAATACTGTAAAATGTGTATCTTACTTCAAGAGGAATAGTACACTTGCAAGCAGCAAGGTTTTTTTTTAGAGCTGCATTTTTGACAAATTAATTATTGAAAAAGATTCAAAATGTTAATGGAAAAAGAGAAGAACTAGAAGGTTGTAGCTGCTGTGTGTGATGCAAGGGAAGGGATACAGAAAATAAAGAGGCACATGAGGTATGTGTAACTAAAAAGTGAAAGCAGAGAAATGGAATGTGGTAGAGAGCAAAGGCGTTTGAGTTTCATTCAGCTACCTATCTATCCAGTTAACTATCACTGATTAATGATAGCTGAAAAAGGCTCAGAGAGATACTAGTCTGACCTCTCAACTACACCTCTACCCCTATATAACGCTGTCCTTGGGAGCCAAAAAATCTTACCGCGTTATAGGTGAAACTGCGTTATATCGAACTTGCTTTGATCCGCCAGAGTGCGCAGCCCCGCCCCCCGGAGCACTGCTTTACCGCGTTAAATCCGAATTCGTGTTATATTGGGTCGCGTTATATCGGGGTAGAGGTGTATTAACATTTCTCCCCCCTGCCATCAGATGTAGTGGATGTGAGATTTCCCCTGCATACATAAATGAAATGAAGACCCTGGGAACCTATTCACACTATCTTAGATTTTCTTTAATGCCCATCTCCACAATAGCTAAGTAGTGATCACCTCTCTGTGACCTCATTCTTAACACAGCATTTTTCCAGTGGATATGATGTAAGCTACTAGTCATAACTGAAAAAATAAAGTGCTCTAGCAGCTTCAGAACCCCAATTTCAAGATAAATGTAAAGCTTAGCAATATGGGATGCAGCAGTTTTACTACATGCACTTCATGCAGGTACAGGGAAACCTGTAGATGTCCAGTATAGGAGAAAAGTCAAAACCAATCACAGCTAATAGGAGAGCTGAAAAGGAAATAGATAGGATAAATGACACCTGACAGCTTCACTTATTGGTGATGCTGTTTTGGGGTAGGGTGCGGCTGCTTTAACAGGACCTGTTTCACAGCCCGTCAAAATCAATGAAAAACCTCCCATTGGCTCCACTGGGCTTTGGATCAGGCCTAAAATGTAGCCAGAGAAACTTTTCCACATGTCCTCTTGAGCAGGGGTGCTGGAGCAATATTTATAGTGAAGGTGCTGAGAGTCATTGAACCAAACTGTAAACCCTATAGATCAGTGGTGGGCAACCTGTGGCCCGTGGGCTGTATGCGGCCTGTCAGGGTAATCCGCTGGTGGGCCATGAGACAGTTTGTTTACATTGACCGTTCACAGGCATGGCCGCCCACAGCTCCCAGTGGCCACAGTTAGCTGTTTCCAGCCAATGGGAGCTGCGGGAAGCCGCAGGTTGCCCACCATTGCTGTAGAGGATGGAAACTACTTCAAGCCAGGGGGTGTGGCAGCACCCCCAACACACCTACTTCCAGCTCCTATGCTCTTGAGCAGCTTCACTTTCACCTAATAGTTTTGTAATTCACTGTGTAAGAAACAAAACTAAACCTTATCCTACATGGGAATTAAATCGAGATATCTTAGTTAAAGTGAAATTTTGTGCTTATTAATTAAAACTATAGTTTTTATCACCCACTGGCTTAAGTTCATGTTGACTTTGGTATTATGTGAAACAACTGATTTAACCTTCAAATGAGCTAATTAATTGTATTGTTGGCATAAACTGTCAGTTCTTCAGGGTGTTTGAATTTAATTTGAACAGTTAAAAACATTTCATTTTTGTTTGAGAACTTCAGGAATAGAAGAAAAGGCTTCAAGAAGGGAGATAAGGACAGTTAGAAACACTGAACACAATGTAACCGAGCCTCAAATATAAAACAGAGAGCAAGGAGCATATTGAAGGACAAAGGAAAATGATTAAAAGCTTTTGGAGCTTGACTTATGAATGGAGAAGGAAGACTTCAGGCAATGGGAAAGTAAAATAAAATAGATCTTTGAGCTAAAGGAAAAGAAAGCAGTAGAATGAAAAGAAGGTAAAACATAACTGTTTTATTTAACGGTATTGAGAGAAAATATTTGGGTTTTAGAAAGAGTGTATGAATAGCTAATTTACTGGAAGTAACCCAGCCTAATGTACTCAACAGCATTACTCAAAATGGCACCCTGAAGAAATACTTAATCAATAAACCCTGATATATGCTACATCCTTTTATGTCTATGCTGCATAAGTCACTGATACTCAAATTTGTTACAGTTTTGTACCACCTCAAAATGGCATGTTAACTGAAAACCTATTAAAATATTGTAAAATGATGCTGAAAAGTTGTAAAAATGTTGTTTTATGCACCCATAAGTGCTCTGATAGTTAAACCTGGGACAATGCTTTAACAGTTAGTTACAAAAAATTATGGACCATTTAAGAAATGATGAAAGTGGGAGTTCTGAAGACTGTAAACATAAATGGTTGAAGAGAGAGTCATAGTGATTAAATACTATGATCATCTAGTCTAAGCTGCTGCATACCACAGGCCCAAAAAACAAATAAAATAGATGAAGAGTTAGGCTCCAATCTTGTAAACACATACATATGTGCTTAATTTTAAGCACACAAATACCATTGAAGCCAATGGTGCTACTTACACACTTAAAGTTAAGTAAATATTTAAAGTGTTGCAGGATTGGGGCCTTAAATAATTTACATTATTACACATACCATTTTGTTTTGCTGTTTTAATCCTGCCTTTTAATAAGTTATTGCAACAGTAAAGAGGATAGGTAGAAGGTGATTCTAGAGACAAACAGTACCTGAAAATCAAAGAAAATCCAGAGGAATGTGTTATAAGTCAAGTGTCAGGTGTGACTTCTGACATTTTCAAATGCAACCAAATGAATCACTTTGGTGTTTTCATCTATACAATATATTACTTGTTACTTCAGGGGAGATCTCTAAACAGGCTTTAGTTTCTGCTGGCTACTTGGATAAAAATAGTAGATGATTAATGAGTCCTGTTTTTCTGATGTGGAGGAGTAACTTCTGAATAGGCCATCAGAAATGTGAGTAAATATGAAGAATGCCATATAAATGCTTGCAACCATAACATCTTGGCCTATAATCTCATCAGGCCTCAGGAGATAAAGAAGGATGGCCTGGTGGATACTTGGATTGGAGAACATCAAGAAAAATCAAGGGTACTGCAAAAAAGTAATGGTGATGATTCAGTGGAGGTACTTCTCTGTGACTCTGTACCCATCCAGCATGACCTTAGGAGCACTGTGCTGTTGAAGGTGCCATCTTTCAGATGAGTCATTATACTGAGACCCTTACTAAACTGGGTAGAAAATGGAAAAAATCATAATTTTTGTTGAAACTTTGTTTTGATGAAAATTCTCCAACTAGCTCTAGACCATTAGAGATTGCCCTTTTTTGAATGTGTAACCCACACACCACCTGGGTGTGGTGTTCTGTCCCATCTAGTGGCACCAAGACCACTTAGAGAGAGAGATTAATGAGTTTGCTCTACAGCCTTAGCTAACAGCCAGTTGGCTTTTAGCGTATGCGGTAAAGGCTCATGCACTAAGCTCCAGAGGCCCCAGGGGTCCAATCCTACCTGCCGACGACTGGGTCTGTCGGCGTTACATATGGTTTAAGGGGTTTAGTGTTAATGTCCTGGCCAAATTTCAATTCAGGTAATTGCATTCTGCCTACCTAAATTTACCTGTAGTTTCAATTGGATAGAGTATTCTTCACTTTGTGCCCTAAACTATTGTGTAATGTTGCTGTGCATTGTGAAACCTCTGATATGTTCCACCCCATGTGTGCCTGCATTTCACTGGTGAAATTATCCTGTAAATATGAATACCGGTACACACGTTATTGCATGATGCTGTTTGGGCATAATCCTATACCCACTGATGTCAATGGCAAAACTTCCCACTGACTTCAGGGGTGCAGTAACTGACTCTATGTGATGAAAATTTATAAATGAGTCTTATAATTTTATAAATGTGAATTTATAGAGGCATGACTTGTAAAATACTACACAAATTTACAATCTGTGCTACTACAATTTATGTTCTGTATGTAATATTTGTCTGTTATGTCTTGTGCTGTATTCAGGATGGAACATGAGGCTACTCAGCTGGAAAATCAGCATGTACATAGTGTGTATGAAAGCACAGCCTCCTATTTTAATGACCTGCAAAGCAAAGCATGGCCTCGTGTTCGTCAGTTTCTGTTGGAGCAAAAGCCTGGCAGTCTCATTGCTGATATAGGTAAGTTACTGTATTTATTGAATGAAAAATCATATGTCATCATTTGTTTTACACATTATGTTTATCATACTTGTCCTTGAAGTCTAGTGTGTTGGGATATTCTTAACAGCATATGAGATAATAGACATACAGTCCCCAAAAATCAAATTGAGAGGAATGTCTACCCTTTACCAAAATGCATATTGTTAGTTTTCTAAAACAGCGTGAAGTTCACCTTTTCTGTATTTCAAACTTAATGGAACAAATCATTATACAAAAAATTGCCCTTCGGCCTTTCCCAAACTGAGGAAAACCAGGGGCAGATGTAGCCTCCCAATTCAATATGTGTGGGGCTGGGGGCTCCAAGGAAGGAATGGGGATGTCAGAGAGGGCCCAGGCTTGTGAATTGTAACCCTCCCCACAGGGAGGCCGTGCCCAGTCCTGCCTCTCCCTGATCTCGAGCCCCACTGCTGATGGGGGCAGTATTGCTGGCCCCCACCCCTGCTTATACCTCCAGGCTTTCTGCCTGGCAGGTCACCTCAGGCCCAGTGCAATGATGCCAGTGGGAGTAGAGAGTCATTCCCTACACTATTGATGGCGGGAACAAAGCCTGAATGGTGCTGTGATGTTGTGCTCCAGGTTACAATACCCCTGACAGTGAAGGCACGTGCCTAGAAAATGAGCATAATAATACCCCTGAGCCTGGCCTGATGTCCTCAGAGTACTTCTATGTATATTTTAATCAAGCCAGGGCTTATGATGCCTAAAAGATCCAGGCCTTGTGTAGAGTTTAGGGTTTTATTTTGTTTTGCCTTGTGCCAGCACAATTTTCAGTTATAATGGCTTTTCACTTTCCAAAAGCTTGAAACTAAACCTGTGGAAACTTTTTACTTTGCTCTAGTGTCTCCTGGACATCATGTCATCCAAAGAGGATGCCCTGTACATTAGGCTAGAGAGTCAGGTCCAGATTCTCAAAGGTAGTTAGGCACCAGTGGGAGTTAGTTGACTAACTACCTTAGAGGATCTGGCATCAGTGCCACACAAATGCACCATTTAAGGTACTAAGAATATAGTTTCTAGATGAACAGGTCAGTATTTCTGTCTATCCTGAGCATATTTATGAGCAATTCACCTGGTGTGAGTTCTCTGAGATGCATAACTAATCAATAGTGTCAGGCAAAACTGGGAAAGGAGCTAGTGGTGGAGTTCACTTTTTTTTAAACTGGTCCTAATCACAGAGATCTCAGAGTACTTTTATGTATTCATTTTTTTTCTTCTTTTAAATATTTGAGTGCTTTTGAGAGTAGATATGTTGATTGAAAGCCTAGAATGGTGAAATCCTCTTTATTTAACAGGACATTTTTTGTTAAAAAACTTTTTTTGTTTGTTTTACACGTAGCATACTAATGATAATAGGATGGGATGCCCCTTGGTCCATGATCCTCATATTGTTCCTTCATCAGGATAACTTACTCAGCCTTTGACCTTGTAATTTGTTTACATAGGAATTGATTATTGCTTCTGTCACATGGTGGCTGGCCCTTCTAAAGGGAGATAGGTCTCAGCCCACCTGTGACTCAGCTATTTACTTCCCCAGGTGGAGAGTATGAATCGAAGTATATGACAGGTAGTCATGTGACTGAACCAGGCCTCTGAGGGGGTAGAAACACAGAGACCTGTGAATAGCCAAGAGGGATGGCAGAGTAAAGTTGCAGGAAGAGAGTCTCTCCTGCAGTGATCCCAGAGGAAGGGAGTTGTGGCTGGGTAGAAAGACCCAGCTGGAAGTTTTGTTTTTCCCTTGGGGAGAGACAAAGAAGGGAGAGCAGGCCTTGTGTTTTTTCCAGTGCCTTAGACAGCAGTAAGAGACAGTACCTCAGGGGGGTGGGGGGCTGTGCCTTGCTTAAGACTTCTTGGGTTTGTTTTGGAACTTTGTTAAGAAAATCAGACCCCAAGAAGGACTCTTACTAGACTTGTGAAAGCCTCTTTTTAAGTTTATTGAGGAACCAAGGGGTAAAATGAGGCAGGGCACTGCAGAGCCATCCCAGCCATGAGGGGTGCATGTGAGGTGGCCGACAGTACTATAGCTTCATAAAAGGGAACTGCCCACTTATTGCCTTATTACTAAATACTATTACAAATTAATACCATGTATATACAGTATCCTGGGGCGCTAGAGGGGTTAGCAATATTAAGTTTCATTCTGTGAACTGTTGAATTCATTTAGATGGAATAAAGGGCCCAAAGAGTCAAAGGTATTAACATCACCCTGTCACTGTCTAACATTAAACAGTGTTAAAAAAGGTTCATGGTTTGGTGCATATATAGAGACCTCAGCCTGCTTAGTACGATGGCAAACATACTATAAAATTCATGCCAAAGGTTAGAAACATACCAATAAAAACACACAAAAGGAAAAGAAACAAAACAAGGCAAAAAACATTGAAACTGAAATTGAGTGATGATGCAAAACAAACTTAAAACCTATGAAATGCTCTTTTAAAGAGGGTGAATATAGGGTTAGAGTCTCTTACTCTGCCAAACAGTCCTTCTTGGTGGGGAAGGAAGAGTTAGTTCTGTTGTTCAAATCTTAGTTGGGAATGATAGTCACTGTCCCACTTTCAAAAAAACTGACAGACACAAGGGGGAATATAGCTTTTGTTGAGGTTCTTAGGATATAGGGTGACTGCTCAGTCACTGATAGATGCATTGGGCTGGTTGATCAGCCATGACCGCTGTTGTTCTGTATGCTGGCTCGCCTTTCTGATCAGGGACATCATCTCAGCTTCACTGGTCCTTCTCAGGCTGAGCAGAGCTGGATTGGCCATCTCATCTTGGCATGCTGATGCTGTGCAATACAGTTGATTTCAAGGTCAGGCGAAAAGCCGAGAGAGAGGGAGGTAGGACAGGAGGAAGATAATGGGGGACGGAAAGGGACACATGAGGGAGGGGAGACAGAGTGGGATCTCTATTATTATGTATTAGGCTGGGATCTTCACCGATGAAGTGATGATGGTCCACCTTCCTCGTAGACTATTAAGGTCTGATGTCATGGCAACAATCCTGCTGCTGCACCTGCTGTGATGGTAAAAGTTCCTTTTTCTCCCTCAAGCCTCTGTTTAAGGGCAATGGATAGATTGGGCCGTCCTCTAATTATTTTGCCCAACAATGAGGCCTAATTTCCGAAGCACCAATTTTGGTCCATTGATTTCCTGTCCCTTATTCCTATTTTTTACCAGTCATAATCTTAACAAAGTAGTTGACTGGTATCAGTAAACATTTTCTGTTTAAAGTAATTCAGTCTTTCTGTCTCCTTCTTACATCTTTTCTTAAACAATTTTATATAACAGGTCATTATAGCAATTCATGAACCTACACCTACTTTTCACTAGTCAGGCTCACAATTATTACAACAGAAGCATTTGTTGGTAGCACAACAGTATTTTTGGTCCCCTTATTCCAGAGTATGCATTGAGATTATAAAAACTCTTCTGCAAAAACTACTTTTCAATTAACTGAATTAAAACATTTTAATCAATATACACACAACTTACATTTTAATCGAGTGTTCATGCTACTAACATAATCAATTATACTTTTGTTCTGATTTAACAACTCCCACTCTCTTATTAACATGCATATCTTAATTTTTCATCTCATATTTTCTTTGAACTGCTTTAATATATTAGTCTCTTTCATTTCTCTTGAGCATTATTCTTAGGAATAATGCTGGATTTTTGCTCTAGCAATATGATGTTTTTTACCACTTTGAGTGTTCTGCTGTTCTCTCACAGTTACTGTGCTGTCTTTGTAGATAATGTTGCACATTATCAGCAATGAAAGCAGCAGGGCTGCAAGCTGCAGTGCTGTTTCTAAAGATAACTCAGGCCTTTAAATTTAATTACTAAGAATAAAATGGTTCTCTTTGCCTAGCTATTCCCCTGCCTCTAGGGTGTAAACTTTCAGATACTATTCTCTACCACTGACCCATAACTGTGCTGAATGTTTCTTAATCTAATTTTGAAAAGTGCCTGTAATGCATATGGTATTGAAGAGCACTCTGGAATATTTCAGTTTAGAACAGCACTGATCCTTAAATATTTCTAAACATACTTCCAGGTAGAAGACACATTCTATAGATGCCAGTTACACATACAAATGTGAAGTTGTAACTGATTAAAACAATAACAGAAAGAGGATGTGCCTGTAACACTGAAATAGTTCTTCGTTGCATAGAAACCATTGAACTTCGGTCATTTTCAAGTCTGTGTTTGGAGGTTAAAATTGTCCTCTCTTGTCTGTGCTGCAGATCTGTATTCTGGGCAAACCCTGCCCTCTCCTCTGCAACCACAGAGATCTCACTGGTAGTAGAACTGTTGCACAACATGCAGGGCAATATTCCTAGGTTCCTGGAAGGTGGCACATATGGCATGGAGCTTACTCAACAGTGGCTACAGGGTGGAGATCAGGGACAGGGCTGAAGGAGCCACGGCTTCATTGATCCTCCTGTTTGCTCCCTCACTCCTCTTGAAGGGGCTGCATTAGGGATGTGTGCAGTAGCAGCTGCGCTGAAGAGTAGTCCATGGCTTGTTGAGAGAGGATTCCTTTCTCCTCTACCTCCCCAGCCCATCCAAAGAGAAATCCATTGCACAGTCTAGTTTTTAGACTGTATGGGAGGAATTGGGTGTAGTTGCATGTGCAGTATTTCCATTGACATCAGAAGAAACTTTGCATCCTGAATAAATATATACATTGTGGATTGAAGAGGAGAATTTTGGCCTTTAATTTGGTTCATGATTTATTGATGATCTGTACCACTGTGCCATGAATTTACAAAGCTTTCATGTTGCTGTTGTAGATACCGTTCCATGTCTGATGATGTGAATATATAATTTTACAGAGACAAATGATTTCAGTGGGAATGAAGCAGGAGCATTGCATTTTCTAGGATAGTTTTAAAATTAAAAGATTTACAAGAGTATTTTGGCACAAAGTGTTTTCACTTTTCCATGAGGGATGAGAGGTGGGGTGAAGGAATTTCATAATAGGTTGCTTCCTGTGTAATAAAGCTTATTGTTTTGTAGGATGTGGGACTGGAAAGTATCTCAATATCAACAGTCAGGTGTTTAATCTGGGCTGTGATTACTGTGAACCTTTGATAAATATTGCAAGGAAGAAAGGCTGTGAAGTCTCGGTATGTGACAACCTTAATCTTCCCCTTAGGGATCAGTGCTTCAATGCAATCATCTCCATCGGAGGTAAGAGAATACAGTAGAATGTTTGTTCAGTTCCAAAATAAACATGAAATATTTTGGATCATTTTTTCAGTTGGTTCTTACATCTCATTGTCATGGTTATTTTTAAACCACGCAGCTATCTTTTAAATCTTATAAAAGTTTCATGATAGGAAACCTGAGAACGAAAATGTATTCAGTTTAATTTCATAACAATGACATTGACTAGGGAAGTACCTAGTCTTTTTTTGTGGCCTTGTACATGCTAGGAAAAAAGGTTTGTTTTTAATGTGTCTTAACTAATGTGTGTTAAAATCCTAGTGTAAGCAAGTCAAGTTGTAGTTTTAAAACATGTAGCTAGTCAAGGCAAACTCTTTCCTGGATTCCCCGGGTCTGCCTTGAGCAACAACATGTCAAATCTACAACTCACCTTAACTAGCGTGTGTTAAGAATATACATTTCTGATGGAAAGTGATTCTATCAAAGTTTTCTGATTAGCTGTAGGTAAGACACATTGGAAGGAAAGTATGGAGAAGGTTTGTACTGTTATTACCTTCTGCTGTACTTGTTCTGTGGCTAGATGGAGGATTTATGTTTCCAGCAATGTCAGTTGAAATCTTTCATGGGCACTAAATTAACTGAAGATTATTTAAAAAAATAAATAATGTAACAGTAGCAATATTTAAGCTGAAATGCCTTTCCTTCCTTCACAGTGATTCACCATTTCTCAACTAAACAAAGAAGAATCAAAGCAATAAAAGAAATGGCAAGGGTGTTGATACCTGGAGGTCAGATCATGATTTATGTTTGGGCTATGGAACAAAAAAATCGTCGCTTTGAAAAACAAGACGTATTTGTTCCATGGAATAGAGACTTGTGCTCCCGGCTTCTTTCAGAATCAAATCAGTCTGGACATAAGAGTGATCTTGAACATACTGTAAAAAAACACCCACAGCAACTAGTAGGCTCTGAATGCAGCTACCCAATTAATCTTAAACAGGAACTTGATACAAAAAGTTCCCACAGTACAGACCATTGCTTAGCCAAAACCTGCTGCATGAAAATGTCTGAAGAAGAAGAAAATCGATTCTATAGTGCTCTAGGGAAATCTTTTCGTTCATGGTTTTTCTCCAGATCCCTTGATGAATCAACCTTAAGAAAGAAAACTGAGAAGATGAAATCTCTGAAGAATGTAGGAGGATGGGCAAACAGTACCATATCTATTCAACCATCAAGACACTGCAGTTTAGACTTAGGTCACTGTGGGCCATTGTTAAAAGAGCAAAGTTTAGATGATGATGAAGTGTTTCTAGAAAATGCATCTGTCAAAAAACCACAATGGATGACAACCTCAGGTGTAATAAGGGATTTAAATGGAGAACACCATGGAGTAGTTCACAGCAAGAATGAAGAAACATCTTTTCTGAGTGGTCCTGTGGAAGACAGGGACAACAACTGTACTTATAGTAGAGATGATAAGTCTACTGCTAGCAAACTCTTTCAAAGAACTTCAACAACTGACTCCACTGATTCTATTTTGGATGAAGCAATGGCTGTTGAGGACCAGGTTGTTGACATATTGGATACAAAAGCCTTCATGCGTTATTATCATGTTTTTCGGGAAGGAGAGCTATGCTGTCTACTGGAAGAGAATGTGCCTGAGCTTCATATTATTAGTTCTTGCTATGATCATGGAAACTGGTGCATTATTGCAGAGAAAATAGCAAAATAACTGCAATCTGAGCAAATAAAACAAAACTTTGAAAATTGAAAAGTTTGAACACTGCTCCTTGAAGGTGTTCTGTGGTGGTGTTGTAATTGTGCAATATAAAATGGAATTTGAGTCTCCTGTAGTTGTGTTCCATCCATTTCTGATTTTACTTTGTATTTATCTATAAATACTGTATATAAGAATGTAAGAGGCAAACAACAATACTTATGTTTTGTCAAAGATAGGCTTTTAAGAGTTTTATATTGCTTTTAGCAAATGATTCAGTTTTTAAATGTACTTTTGTATTGAAAAATAAACAAAACATTTTTATAAGATAAGGATCAGGGCATCTTTTATGAGAAATATTTGCCCAGTTTGAACTTAAAGCTTGGTAATGCAAACACTTAAGCATGTGTGTTAACTTTACTCAGTAGGGTCCTGATTCAGCAGTCCACGCTTCTTCAGCAAATAACTTAAGGACATGGTTAACTTTAAACATGTGCCTAAGTCCCAATTTGGATACATGCTTTAAGTTAAGCACATTTAAATACTTTGATGAATTGTGGTCTTCAGGATGGGCTACTCATAGGCATAAATGTTTGCATGATCAAGCCATGAGTATTCTGTGCTTTGTGCTTAGCATTCTGGAGCAAATGGAACAGCTGCATTTGTTCAAGATTTTGGTCTTTTTTTTTTTTAAACAGTCTAGTTCAGGCGTTCTCAAACTTCATTGCACCGCAACCGCCTTCTGACAATAAAAATTACTACATGACCAGAGGGCGGACCGAAGCCTGAGCTCACCCGATCCCTGCCACCTTGGGTTTGGGGGCCAAAGCCCCACTGCCATGGGGTGGGTGGGAGGGAAACCAAAGCCCAAGGGCAGCAGCCCCAGGCAGGGGGCCTGTAATCTCAGCCCCACTGCCCAAGGCTGAAGCCCTCAGGCTTTGGCCCCAGACAGTGGGGCTCGGGCTTTGGCTTCAGCCCCTGGCCCCAGCAAGTCTAAGCCAGTCCTTGCAACCCCATTAAAACGGGGTCAATACCCACAGTTTGAGAACCGCTGATCTAGTTTATGCCTCAGAGCTAAGGGGTTGAGACTGAGTCTTATGTATTCTCTACCACAAATACATTAATTTATTTTCTACAGTTTTAAAAGTTTTGCTTATCTGTAAATACTGTTCACTGAGACTAATTTTAATAACCATTATTTATAAAGAGTACAGAAAATCAAATGTATTTGAGGTGTACATATTTTTGAGATAAACATGGGAGCACTATGTGAAATTAGTATAATTCTAGTGCATATCTGCTTAGTTTAAAAGACAGATTTATCTGTAGTATTTGATCAGCTTATATACTTAATGACAATATATACTTTCTTAAAGGTATCCTAAGAAATGTAGAAGATATGAGTCAAGTATGAAAATAAAACATTACAAATCAAATAGCAAAATCCTTAAAATACGTCTTCCATATTTTGAATGGGACATTAAAAGGTCCCTGATGCCTCTAGGTGCTGGAAACTAAAGAACCATTTTTCAAAGGACTAGAGGATAACTCTCATGTCTTGGGCAGATTTCCCTCTCTTAGGTCTGATCTACACCTAAAACTTAGGTCAACCTAGCTATATTGCTCAGGGTTGTGAAAAATTTCATGCCCTGTGCAATTGTAGTTAAGTCGACCTAACCCCCACTGTAAATGCAGCTAGTGGAAGAATTATTCCACTGACCTAGCTAGCACAGCTCAAGGGGGTGGATTTACGATAGTGATAGAAAAATCTCTTCTGTCACTGTAGTAAGTGTCTACATTACAGTGGCATAGCTGCAGCACTGCGGCTTTGCCACTATGGTGCGTGTAGTATAGATATACTCTCAGTAAAATACTGCCTACACTCTGTGGTAAATTTTCTTACTGAGCACAGCAGCCAATCACACTCACATTATACTAGATTAGCCCACTGTTACACACAGTGAGCAGTACTTTACTCCTTAAGTAATCTGGTTGATTTTGCTGGGACTACTTGTGGAGTAAGGTGCTACTTAGCAGGGGTAAGGGTATCAGAATCTGACTTTGAGTCACTGAGTTCAGCAGCAAAACTGTAATTGACATCAGTGGGAGCAGGACTGAGCCATAATGATGGCTCCGTTTGCATATGCCATCAGTGCAGGTCTAGGGCCAAATTCTGCATTTGGTCAGTGAAGTTACTCTAGGCCACATCCTCAGCTGGTGTAAATTGGCATAGTTCCATTGGCTTCATTGACTGTCCCTCTGTATTTGCAGCAGTTTAACTGAGTGTTATAATTTGACTTTGGTAATTAAGATGTCTGACTAATTACTCAGTAAAGAACTTGACATACTGTGTATAAGAGGAGTTTTAACAAGAGCAAAACTACTGTAATGCTTTTGAAATGTTACCCATTCTACAATATGTAAATTCATAGCTTTTAGCTTGTTCAGTCACAGACCCTGATGGAAGTAAAAGTGTAAATGTTTTATATGTAACTGCCCTGGATATAAAGTTTAATAATATATTATATATATTCTTTCGCTAAAATTTATCTAAATAGACTGACCTCCATGGTTTTTCTTATTGTACAGTTTCTGTTCATTGTCATTTTCACTCTTGCTCTCTCTCTAGCCCAATGATTCTTTAAGTATTTATCCACAGTGGAACAGTCATTGGGCCGGAGAGAGATTGAGATTGATTCTGTACCCCAGTGGTCAGGGCACCCGCCCTAGAAGTGGGAGTCTCCAGGTCCTACCACTTTTTCATTATTTATCCACAATGGAACAGCACCAACAGGAAAGACAGAGGAAGCCACACCTCAGAATATACCATATCTCTGTGGTCAGTGCACTCTCCTGAGAGGTGTGACACTCCTGGTTAAATTCTTTCTCCCCCTCTGGAAGAGAGGGCGGAATTGAACCTGGGTGTCTCCCACATTCCAGGCCTGTGTGCTAACCACTGGGTAAACGTTATAGGGGGCACCACCACCAGCTCCTCCTCCTGCTGTTTAGTACAGAGTGAGGCAGGCTCCAAAGTCATTCCTGAAAGACTTGTCTTCGGTGCATAAGTGACCTGACTCCAGGAGAGTGATTCCTATTTGTTAATTGCTAGCAGAGATAGGCACCTGCCTGAAGCAGGTGAGAGGGACAGGGTTTAGCACACCTACTCTGGTTGGCATCTACTCCTGTTGGCTAGCAAGCTGGCTTTTTATATGCATTCTTAGGTGCCTATCTCTCCCTATGCATTGTATAGGTAGTCTACCTGTCTAACAGCTTTGTGGACTGAAGTGTTGGTCTTCAGATTTTCTAGGCACCTAAAAGTTAGGCATGCTGACTCTCAGCATTGCAACACCTAAGTCCCTTTGTGAATCTCACCCTATGATTCTCTCTTATCATGAGAAACATGACATTTCCAAAAAAAACAACCACGTGTGATCCCAGTGTTTATTTGCTTAGGATCATAGCTTAATGTGTTCAAACAAGTGGTGAATGCCATAGCAAAGCTTGTAATTGACATTAAATAAATACAATTCCTGCACTACTTACTAAGATAAAACTCTCATTGATGTCAGAACTGTAGGATTTGTCCCTTAACAGGCAAAAGTGAAGTTTGGATTTGTGTCTTCTGTTTGGTAATAGAAAGTTCTAGAAGTAAAATTCTGGTCCCATTAAAGCCCAAAACTCCCACTGACTTCAATTGGTTCCTAGGTCACCAACCTGTCCTTAACTGGTACTTTGAGATATCTTGATCAGAAGAGGAAAGATGCCCAGTTTCCTTCTGTTTAACTTAATATTTAATGTTGTCAGTCTGAATTGACTGATAATGGCTGCTATTTTAACTCTTAAAATGTATAATTTAAACTGACACCTGCAATAAAAAACATATTACAATTGAACAAACTTATTTTTGATGGAACACAAAAATACAATATTTGATAAATGTCGTTTTGCCTTTTTTGAGTAAATGTGAATATTTATAAGTGCAAAAGCTATTGTTTTTCTACAAAAGACAATTCATTTACCTTCTTCAAATTGAAGAGGGCAATCGTTTTAAAAGCACAAATGGGTTATGAAAAGCTATAAATTTTGTAAAAGTGTTTATCTGTGATAAGTGCTAGTATTCATATTATTTGTGTGTATACTTTAAAATGATACTCAGTTAAGAGATATGCAGTGTGTTACAGTAGCACAGGATTGATAATGAACAATCTGACTGTGTTCTGATTAAAAAACATGGCCCTGATCCTGTAATTACATCCATACTGAATTGTACTCACATGTGCACTCCATTGACTTGAATGGGTCATCTTTGGAGTGTAGGGATTTTCTTGTGTGATGCATTTGTAGGCCCATATTTATACTTCAGTGCAACTTGGATGTTTCAGTGTTACTAGTTAGATCAAAACTATACAGTTTTATATCTCTGTTGTGAGTTCTTGTTATGCTTATCCTGTATTAATTCCGGTAGCTACTCATTATTGTAATTTGAATCTGCTGTGTTTAAATACTACACTATAATCATTTCTTAGTCCACATATAAAACTTCAGATATTAACCATCATTTGGGTGAAAATAAATCTTGCTCCATTGAAATATTATTTACTGGAAACATTACACAGTTTAAGATGCATTAATAAAGATGACATATTATCCACTGGAAACTGTGTCTGGGAAAGTTCTTACTGCCTGTCAAATCAGAGAAGTTCTTTGCTGTTAGAATCACTCTGTATTAATTAGAACTTAGCCACATTCCCAGAGCTTGAGCCTGAACTCTAATGTCTACACCACAATTAAACAGCCCTTTAGCCTGAGCCCGAGTCAGTTGGCATGAGCCAGCCGTGGGTATCTAATTGCAGTGTAGACATAGCCATGGAGAACCTTTCAAACACAGATGCCAAAACTTGCATACAGCCACAAAACTTTCAAGGAGCAATAACAGTTGGGGCCACCAATGAAAACTCTAGACACGAATCCACTCTGTCTCATACCCTGACTCATTATATCCAGTAGAATTGTAGCATGCAATTTAGTGGGAGAGGAAGAGGGATAATATGTTTGAGTTATTTTCTCACATTACAATGGCCCCGGGTAAGAGTGACCTAAGCTGTTGTATTGACCCTGTCTATAGTCATTATGGCGACATTGATAGCAACTCCATAATTAAGGCTGAGTTGAGTTTTGCACATAAAGCTCATTGTTTTATATTAAAATACTACATATTCTCCCCAGAATTACAGCACTTATTCTCTGAATACAGAATTAATTTTCTGAGATTTACAATTTAATCTGTCAATTAGTTTAAGAATTCAAATTAATTAAAAATGGGCCCTTTAAGAAATTTAATACCCAGTCTCTTGTGTATTTGCCTCTCCTAATGTCTGTAACAGAATAACACAGACTCTTCAAACATCCCTCATAGTTAAAACACATTGAAATCTTGTGCATGGGCTACATTTGAACATATTTCTAAGGATTAATGGCCATTTCCTCACATTATTTTCATAAACAAAAGTTTCTCCTGCTAATGCAAGATGTATAGCGCTTGGCACCCTATGTGGGATAACAATCAGACTAAAAAGTGTAGCTCCTGACAGAAAAGATTTTTATGTACATCCATCCCCATTAATCAGGCTTGTGTATGCCAAACCCCAATCAATCAGCCCCGCATCCCTGGAAGGGAGCATGCTCAGTCACTCTGTGAGGATGGAGCAGGCTCAGTCTCAATTACATTCAGGTCCTGTGTGGGGATGGAGCATACACATTGCAGATGGAATCTTCAGAAAATACAACCGCCAGACTATTACTGACCTCTACCCAGTTAAGTACAAGCTGTCATTCTCAGAAATGTATAACCTGGTTAAATTTGAGTGG